ATAACATAACATCACGCCTTTTATCCCCTAAGGGGTAGGCAGAGGTGCACATTAAACCACTGTACAATGTAACACCCACTTTTCACTATTTATGTTATGAGTCCCATGTAATAGGGGGTGAGCCTATTGCCATATACCGGGCACAATTCCAGACTCCGTGCTACTACTGAGAATATTTGAAAAAACCCAGTAATACTTTGCCCGACCCGGGAATCGAACCCGAGACCCCTAGCCCGGCAGTCGCACTTACGACCACTCGGCCAACGAGGCAGTCGCCAAGCAGACCAAGAAGCAATTTTGAATAATAATATCTTGTATCCAACCAATAACCTACTTACAATTACTATTTCAGGAACGCAAACTTCTGGAATGTGAAGAAGCGATAGAAGCAATAGACACGGCAATAGAATACAAAAATAATTTAATTTGCGGCAAATCACCATCAGCTTCTCTCTCAGATTCTCAAGACAACAAGGACTCTAGGAGTAGAGGGGAACAAATGTTGATGGCGCGGCTTGACAAACTATCGCACGATGAAATGAAAACACTGCTTTATAGATATTTCCAAAAGGTAATTTAAAATTTATTGTATCTTTACACAAATGTCTGAATTTATCACTCTTAACATTATTCACTCACAATCCAATAAGCTATTAATTAAATAATGCTACTGTTAAAACCAATATACTTTCTAATAATGAGAATTCACACCGTTTGGCGCAGGTGTTACCTTATCACCATATTTTACAATTTTATCGCAATCAGTGTGTGAATGTAAAATCTTATTTAGGTTGTACATACCTAAGAGTTACGCAACTACAAATAGCGATCAAAATTTTAAGAATTTTGATGCCTTATGAATGTCACGGTAACTGAAAATAAATAAATGCTTAGTATACTACAACTTTACTGTTACACACACTACATATTTTTTATTACTGTGCTACATATTTTTGTTAGTTATTCCAAACTCCATCGTATTGCAACTCTAACTCATATTAGGCTAAGGATTCACGGCACGATTTACTTCCGCGCCCGCCGCTGTTGCGGGCCCGCAGCTTTAGTAGAATACAGATATGTATATAAAAAATCAAAGCAATTTTCACGGCGCGTTTTACGTCCGCGGCGGATGCAATTGTTTGCGTCTTCCGCTGCACCGGCAGCGGGCGTGTCCGTCTTGCGATAATCAACCGCCAAGTTTGTAAGCGATAATCGCAACCGCGGCGGCTACGGGAACGCAGAAAACTGCGGTCAAGTGACTTTTGAGAATTTCGCCTCCATTCCGCCACCACGGCGGGCGCGGGAGAAAAACGCGCCGTGTGTCCTTAGCCATAGTAGTTTTGTTCAATACTACAAGCTTAAAAGTTACTTCTGCTTCCTATGTTCAATTATGTTTTAGTTAATAATATAGCTATATTATATGTACTACGAAAGGATATTATATACATAATATCAGGTGGTGGATCTGCGAGGAGCGTGCGCGGCGTTGGAGGCTGGCGTAGCTTCTGCTAGCGAAGAGGCCGCAGTATGGCGCGCCCGTGCTGCTGCAGCTTGGAGGCATGCGCAACGATTGAGACCACACGCCCACTCCAGGTAAACACACAAAAGAAAATACTAATATCATGTGATTGTAATAGCTAAAGGCCAAGTGAGCAAAGTTGATCAATCTTAGTCATCCTGCATTTTTGAACCAAAGCAACGTATATTGAATATGGTATTGTTACTCATCTAAAATGTTTATTTACAACAGCTTCCTTTTAGCCTTTTTATTATAATAAAATTTTTCAGTCGACTTACTTTTATTTGGCGATTGCTTTAAAGTAGATTATAATAAACTCTTATATGTGTTATATTTTGTTACAGACACTTCCAGTCCATACATAGATGCCTGGACGGAGGTAATGCCGAGAGGGCCCTATCTTTGGGCATCACTACTGATTCAGAAACATCTGATGATGCCATGAGATTGGTCGATCGTATGAAACAGCAGCTTGCGCGGTGTCCAGCAGTAAGCATTTTATATCAATTTAAAGAAAAATCTCCTATTTTATTTTAATTAAAGATCCCAGCCAGTTTTCAAAAGCCTTCAAATCTAAGCCAACTCTTACAGTTGACTGACTTATATCTTTATCTCATTTTCAGCCGCCACAAATACCTAGTCAAAACCTCCGACAGCTGATGCCAGCAACCAACCTACCAGTGGCCAAGGTGACCAAGGAGAAAAACAAGCTGATCATAGTACAACAAAATAAAAAGCACTGATATTTGTACATACTTTTATTTGCAGTTATCAATTCAGTTTTATTATTCATCTTTATAAGATATCTAATGTTGTTTATTGAAGTAACCATGTAGCCATAATAGTTTGTATTATGCATTCTATTTCTATTCTACTTTCACTAAACTACTTTACATAACATCACATTTTTGAAATATGCAATGTGTAAATACAAACACTTATTCGAATTTGCATTATTTGTATATACATTTGCCAATTCTATTCTACTCACTGAAGTGTATAAAAATATATTCCTTTTCTATACATTCAACTAAATTCGAGCATTTCAAGATACGAGATTAGACGTGTACATATTCTAAATGAAAAATATATAAAAATAAATTGATTGATCTAAGTTTTATTTTATCTACAACATATTTACACTAGACAACGTAACTCATGATTGAAAATTCCAGGGTATGCACAATATCCCTTCCGATAAAACAGAGTAGTAATGCGTTATGTAGAGCACTGTACCGTGAAGTTTCTGAAACAAGAAAACATACAAGTAGTTTTATCGAATCGGGAGATCTAATGCTTGGAGTCGCACTTGCAACCACACTACAAATATAGCAGCATTGTTTAAAAAGATAACTAGGAAAAAGTTCAAAAATGTATATGTACCGCGTGTAACTGTTCACTTCGCGTCAGCAACCTCTGGCAGCATGAAATCATATACGCTGGTGTGATGCTGTCATCCTTTCGTAGGTCCAGTAGACCAAACCTTTTGACAACTTCTTTATGAAGTGCCTTCTCCACATGCTTATTACTGGAAAAAGAGAAGTGGTTCTTTAGTTTATGTTCTAATTTATTTTAATTTCAAGTTAGCAATTTATGGGGAGAAAAATGGTAACAGTGTTACATAGCATTTATGACCCGAAGTCTTATACAGAAATATTTGGTGTACTTACATGCTATATTCTGTCATCAAAAGCGTAGCTTCATCTAAATGACTGGCAATGAAAGCCACAAGCTCTTCAGCTGGACAAGAAGATGGTGTGATGAACTGTCCGGTAGGCGATACCATTAGTGGACCTGCTTCCCTGCAAAAATATTAGCAATTTGAAGAACATTTTATTTACACTTTCCATAAAATTCGAGGATTTGTAAACAAAGTTGCGAACTTACGGTTCAATAACAATTTCGTATTTCTGCAGAGATTCAGGTACGCCCGGCGGGAATTTTGAACCACGACCATAGAAGTCGCCTATGGAAGTGATCAACTGTCTCAAATGACTGCAGTACTGATATGCCGACACTTTCGGCATAAATTTCCTAAAATAGAACAAACTTTGATTATAACATGGAATTGGATGAATGGAATTAATTAATTAATTAATGATATAAGTTCCATGGAATGGAATGTTTTCTGAATTTCGTGTTGAATATAATTCTTACCTTCGCCGTATGTGTATATCCCTCAAAATACTAGACAATGCTTTCTCATAATTTGGTATCATTATTAAGGCACTGTCCTCTTGACTAACTTTCTTTATTAACTGTAAAATAATGTTAAAAAAATAATAAAACTAATGTCAATCTTACAAAATAAAATGACATTATAACTATGCATCTTTGCTCACCGACATCCATTCATTTCGTACATCCATAATATTGAGGAACACATCGCCATCTAGACTGACCCCAGTAAACTGTCCCAAAGCTATTGTCCTACCTGAATAGAAAAAAAAAAGAATTTATTAAATAATTTACAATGGCAACTTTTCATAGTAAATACTAAATCTGCTGATCTGCATATCTTACGACAATTGGAGCAGAGCCAAATTGACGAGATTTCAGAAACAACATAATGTTATTTTTGTATGAATTATGTAAGGACATCATTGAATGCTAACCTTCTAAATTCGTCATAATGTTCGGATGCTGTGAAGCCAGGGCGTCTAAACTCTGCAATGCGCCTCTTATATGGCTCATATTCCAACCACTGTCGAATTTCACCTAAATCCATATAACATTCATTTTTCATATTCTTGGGTCATCTTTCATAAGTCATTTGATTAAAATGATGATAGTAGCTTGGCAATTAGTCAATATATTTACTCAACAAGCTTTAAAAGCAATGGCAATGAGTATGCATGATTATTCAATGTTTATATTATACCAACTTGTTTAATACCATAAGTTTTGCAAAGGTTGTTTATTAGAGATTGCACTTGCTCCCTTGTTGCTGCTGCTGACTCATATTTATTTTTTGCATCTCTGCTGTTTGCATGTACCCATTCACTGTAATATTGGAACAAATTATAAATAAATATCTTGAACCTTAAAAATATAAAAACAAGGCATATATACATACACAACATTAGCACTGAATTTTTTTTCTACTACTTTCCTCTTGATTCGACCCACATCAAATTCCTTTTCATATTGTTCATATGCATAGTCATACTTTCTATTACCAAAGGTTTTGCTGTAAACATAAGGGCATACATATGTGTGAGTGACAAACAGTATTAAATACAGGATGTTGCTAAGCAAAAATATCTTAGATTCACATGTTATTGATCAGAAAATTTGTTGCAAATCTATTCAAGTGTTTACCTAGTCAAATGATTAGATAACAGATATTTTGAACAAGCAATCTAGGGAATACCAACCTGAAGTTAGATACTTTTGGCCTATCAGGTATCTTATCAATGTACTTGGTAGAGATATCACAGGCGTTGAGAACTTTTACAACTGTTTCTCGTACATTATTGCTATTTAATTGAATTTTTATGAGCTTGAATTCACCTGGAAAGAAGAAATAATATAAAATTAATATATTTAAAAATTGAACACCATTTTTTATTGTTATCGAAGTTATAATATAATTTCAAGTCTGAAAATGTTATTTAAATTTAATAAAATTATTTTGTTTACCATCAGGTTTATCCTTTTGTCTCACATAGAATGATAATGGTGGAACCGAAATTCTTTTGCTAGATTGTTGGGCTTCGATAAGTGCACTCAGCTGTTGTAAGGAATTTTCATTGATTTTCTAGAAATAGAAATTAAATAATATAATACAAAAATACAATACAAATTAATCTAACAAGGCTTTATGTTATACATTTATTGGTTTCAAAATTAGGCACTCAATGCCTTACTAAACTGTATTATAATCCCATTATAAATAAATAATGATTATTAAAAGACTGAAAATGATTACCTATGAAATGTTAAAATGTAGATTTTACTGACACATGCAATAGTCTACATGAACCATATAGATACTCATTCGTAATTTGAATATCTTAGAACATACCCTTTGTTCTGGATATTTTCCAAATAGATCTGGATGAACGCTGAAGTAAAAAGGTCGTAGAGCAGTAGACACTTCTGCAGAACTTAAAAATCTGCATACCAGGCCACTGGTACACCCACAACTGAAATATTTTTATAAATATTATTGCGAACACCTTTTCATTCACAAAATATTAACATAAACCGATGCTATCAGTGGTTTTTGATAAATTATTAACAAAAACAATGAGTAGAGGTTGCTTTTTGATAGAACTTACTATATTTTAGTTCTGCTATACATTTTAAATTATTGCGGAATAAACGGAATAGTAGTAGAAAAGTACATCTAGCTATTTATTTTAGAATTTACGCACTATTAAATATGCAAAATTATTATTTTCTTTGTTAAAAATCTACATTTTTTTGGTAACGACCCTGAACTTGCTCGATCAACATCAAATTTTAAAATACTTTGACAATGACAAATGACAGTGACATGAGTGACAAGACAGTGACAGTGTCAACTGGTAGATTATAAATTGTCGGCGGTGATATTCTTGTCAGCAGGTAGATTATAAATTGTCGGCGATGATATTCTAGATTACCTTACAAAAACATAGTTTGATGAAAAACCACGACCACGGTGAAAACGGTGTATTGTTGACCGATCGACAAAAAAAGGAGGTTCTTAGTTTGACTTGTATGGTATGTATATTGGTGCATGATTTTTTCCCGACTGGTCGAACCGATTCTGATACGGTCTTCAGAAAATTGTAAGTTACACTTACGAGTAGAAAGTTTATAATATATTAATTAACCAGAAAGAGAGTACTGAATTTTTTTGTTTTAATGTAGTGTACGAAAGAATTATTTACTTAGAAGTTTTAAATTGCCATCTAGCCCTCCTTTTCACTTTATATTATTAGTTCTATGCGTAGAGGATGAGTCAATTGCCTGATAACGGGTACAATTCCAAACTCCGCGTTATTACTGAAATATTTTCCTAAAAATCGAAAGAATTGAAATCGATCGACGAGTCGAATCCTACACCTTATACTCGGTAGTCATACTTGTGATCACTCGACCAACGACACAGTTGAGAATTGCAAAATTTGATACACATAGGATTTCGTTATTTTGGGGTATGGAAATGAATTGAGTATCTGAGTAAAATGGGACTATGAAGTTTAACAATTTCTTACAATTCAAACTCGGAAGACACTGGTTTTAAAAACTCATTGTTAATCATAACAACATAACATAACATCACGCCTTGTGGGCAAAGGTGCACATTACGGCACTTAATGCCAATACACGTAATCGTTAATAATGATTTTGTTAAATAGCCTTAAAGGAAATTGATGGTTAATTCGGACCTGATTTCATGAAAATTTATCTAGTAACTGTGTAGTTAGGTACTAGCACTTTTTTGTGGTGGGAAAATCATCCAATGGCTTCTCCCGCCTTGTGTTAGGCGAGAGGCAGCGCAGACTCTTACTGACTAAAAACCACCCCGTTCCTACTCCTGGTCTTCGAGACGGAGCCCTGGCAACCCGTCAGGCTTTCCGCGGCTCCTTAAGTTACTAATACTTACGTGCAAAATACTTAGGTACGTACCTAGGCACCTATTTTTTAAAAAAAAAACCTTGCCCCACTTTAAGATTTTCTCTTGTGTCGTGGGTACGTTTACAAACATACAAGTTCACATACACAATGACACCCAGACCCGAAGCAACAATTTGTGGATCACACAAAGTGTTGTTCCATGCGGGAATCGAACCCGCGACACGTTACACGGCAGCCGGTTGCCCAGCCACCGCACAGACCGTGCAGTCATACCTCACCTAATCACCTACTTACTAAGATGTTACCTATGTACTTAAATTATTTGTATGTAAGAGATAAGTAAATGTATATATACTTACTTATTATTATTTATTTTATGAGTTCTTATGTTTATACATAGGTTCGTCAGGTGCGTGGTATATGATTAAATATTCTTGATAAGTGTTTGTTCATAATTATGTTAGTGCATTATTTACTCATACATTGAGATGAATATACCGCGGAAACAGAAGACAGGAAGATATCGCTAAATGATGTAAGTTGGAGGTTAATGTTTTAAATGATATAGCAGGTGAGCAGCGGATTGGCTGTCGGCTGTTGAGATAAAATCTGAAGGCTGCGCGCGCGGCAGCGGCGGCGCGGCAGCGCTGTGAGGTTGTGACGCAACGCGCCAGCGCAGACGCGGTAGCGCCGCGCGCCCTCCGCCAGCGCTGCGAGCCTGCCACTCGGCGAGCTGCTTCATAATTGTTACACAGACGAGTTCAATAATTAAGCGATAAATATACCAGCAGTGGCGGTGAGAGGAGGGCGGCAGTCGAGCGGCGGCCGCGTTACGTTCCACACACCCGTACCGAGTGATGGACCCGAAGCTCATTCGACATTTTTCTATCGTACGCCGTAGGAATCTCACCGGACTGGTTCCCGCGCAACGCTGCGTTAGTGCGCCGCTCTGGTGAACCCTTTCGCTTGTAAATGTGCCGATATTTACATATGCGCGCTCGATCTCGCGTCGAACTTTCGATCTGCGCCCGCGCCTCGCGGCTGAGTTGTGAGCCCCGCGACCTGGCAGCCGCCGGCGACTGCGAGCCGCCGCTGCCGCCGCCCCAGCGCACTCAACTGCTGCACGACGTGCGATGACCTACGTATGTCACCAACATAATCATTACATTGTTTACTATATTTACGTAGCACTAACAAAGTACACATTAGGAACTTATGACACCATGCACGTACCTCATACCTGTAGCAGTTGAGGTAAGTAGAATGCTTACCTCCTTAAACCTAAATGATGCTATTTAGGTAGTTAGGTGCCTGTACGTACACGTAACTACAGTATGTAGGTAAGTGCCAGAAGCATGAAACTGGGTAAATAAGCTGTGTTTATTTAGAGATCTACTTATGCTGTTTACCTAAAGAATGTTACCGAATTATTTCGTCTTTATAAATCTAAAGAGCTAGAGAAGTTCACCTATTAGTGCAGATAGCTAGATAGCTCTTAATGCAGATACGTCCATTCCTTATTATAAGTCTGTCTGCATAGCCTGATTCGATTAACCTATGAGGCAAATTGCGTTAAAGAACATTATTACTAGACAGAGACACAAACCATATTAATAATAATAAGACGTCAATCCATTATTCTTGTTACTAATTTCGTGGTAGCTGTAGGTATCAATTATTTTAAATAAATAATATACGTATATTCAAGGAACAAAACAAAACAAACGTTAAGACATATCAGCGTATTGTGTTTAATATAATGCCATCTAGCTGCACCACAACTAAACACGTTATATGAACATTACGTATAAAGTATAACTATGTGCGCAAATTCTGAGAAGATCCAATGTCCAGTCGTATTGATAATACACAAGTTATTTATACAAGTATGTAAATTATTACCTTGTTCCAATTAAATCACAGACAGTGAAAATTACCAGTCGCTAACTACCACGTCGGTTTAAAGGTTCAAACATCACGCAACTCCTAATCGTTAGGAAGTCCTTCTTAACCCAACTTTGGTAAAAATATTAAATTCTTCTGTCATAAATCTAATTCCCGAAAAGACTGATGTCTGAGGTCAGTCTGGATTTCAATGGTCAGAATAGATTCCGTTTTTCAAGAAGATAACCCTCTTTGATAAGGAGGGCCGTAATCTGCGTATTACTACTGATACGATTTGCCGTTTAGGGATTGAGGGCCTAGCCACTGCTAACGCCTCTTATAAGCCAGGTTTAAATATCTAACGACTGTTGCCGTTTTTTGTCAGGTTATATTATCAAAGAGACTTGATATGAAGTACCTACTGAGATATGTGTCAGTTACAGGAAGTATAGGTTTCTGAACAGGACACAACTAGACGCAAATACAGAATACAGTTTCAATGAAGTACATACAAGCACAACAGGAAAATGAGGACTATAAATAATTAATGGTTTACATTTAATTATAAGACTATTTTTTTAATTGAAGTTGGTATATCAGTCAGTCACCGAGTCCTAATTAGTCCTGTTAGAGTCCAACTTGCCCCATACGTTTTTCCTCGGATTTATAAAGTCAAACTGGTAAATGTTAAATGATTCTTTTTGATATTTTCCCCTACCTTATTACTGAGACTACTGCTACTACATAGATTTCGTTAAGAAGTTGGTACTTTTCTCCCAGCCCTCTACAATTCATTTTTTGCGAGGTCCACACCAACATATAAATCCAGATAGTTATTTCCACTGCACTAATGTGCACACTGACGGCATCACAACGCAGAAGAAAATCCCAGTGCCCCACACTTATTTTTAAATGGAGGAAGATAGAAGAATGAGATTTACTTAGGTACACATGTAACTGAACCACAAACTCTTATTGCTTTGAAATGTAATAACATAAAACTTCCTAATGAAATAATAAGGGGCCTGTAATTAATCGACGCCCACACACCGTCAGCACAGTCTACACGAGGTCCGTTCCACTACACGAGGGTTTCCACAATAAGATAATTAGTGTCTTGGCTAGTTTTGGTAGTATCGTGATCTGGAACGTCCGCTGCACACGACATGTGCATGATACCGGTGGAATTATATGGATGTGTGTAGTATCAACTGGTTTTGGACGTCGTTGAAATTATTCGAGATGAATTCGAATCATAGCATACTGTCTATAGTATACTATAGCATATTCTAATATATTTTGCTCATCACGTCTAGTCTTCGTAGCTATCGTAAGGGTCGACTAAAGGACTAGATATTATTATCATCTAACAGAGACTGGACAACAATATTCTCTGATAAACCTGATCCTATTAAACTACGATCTCCAACTCGCTTGCAAGCATAAAGGTTATGGTATCTAACCCCCTCTTTTCAGAGGTGCCCTATAGGCCAGCAATAGACGAACGGTTGTAGCTGATGATGATGAACCCCGCTGTATTTTCTCATCTCACCTTTCTCATCTTTCTCGACATTGGGACTCGTATGTAAGTACTGCAATCATCACAACGCTTTTTTACTGCAAAGAACGGTATAAATTGTACTTAGAAACACGTGCAAGTGTGCCTATAAGTGAATGTTATGTTTTTATTAACAGTTTGATTATTATTGTAAAAGATGACGTCTGTTGTTAGATCTTTATGGCAAATATAACATGTAGGTAATGCTGAACATGAATCTGCTACATATTCAATGAGATGGCTTTTATTATGATAGCTTTTGAGTTTTCAATGCATATAACTTGTCCTAAACAACAAACAGATAACATAAAACTAAGAAAAAGTAGGTCTGAATTGGAAATGCATCCTGACTGTCAATTGAGATTATCTCTCTTAGATTTACTAAAATTGCCTGACGACGACAAAAGACTGGTGCTTTAGGTTACCTGAAACCTCAAGTTAAATT